TAAAAAAACTAAAATGTGTTTCTAAATTTATAGTTCAAACAATTAGTAAAAATCAACTGAGTTAACCATATGTTATCTAAAATGTGAAAAGAAAAAGAAGATTTTATATATTATTTTTAAGATCTATATATTTCATGAAATATGAAAGGTTTCTTTTTTATTAAAAGATTTTGTAACTCAATAAAAAAGAAATCTTACATTCAATCCAACTTCATTTTTTTTAAAACCACACATTAAATTTAAAAAATCATCTTAATATTTTTATTTATCAACCTATGACAAAGAGAAACGTTCAACAAATAGTATCATAAAATCTCAAATAATTCTATACGATGAGAAAAAATCAAAATATATATAAACTCACACAAAAGGTAATGAGGTTTTTTTTTTATTAAAAGATTTTGTAATTCAATAAAAAAGAAATCTTACATTGAATCCAACTTCATTTTTTTAGAACCACACATTAAACTTAAAAAATTATCTTAATATTTTTATTTATCAACCTATGACAAAGAGAAACGTTCAACAAATAGTATCATAAAATCTCAAATATTTCTATACGATGAGCAAAAATCAAAATATATATAAACTCACGAGACCGAGATAAATTACAAAAAGTAATGATAAGTAATCATACTATAAAGATAGAGTAAAAATTATTGATAAATTTTATCTTCTAAATCATAATTGGTTATTTAGATAACATGATATATATAATGGTAACATATATGTACGTAAAAAAGTTTTTTAAAAAACTAAGTAAATGAGAACTATCGGTATCGAAGCCATTGGTAATCACTTCATATGTTTAAGCATTATTAATACTAAATCACAAAATTAATCTATTCTATTTTAAATCAAATATTACTTTGTAACTACAAAGCATTAGTTGTTTTATTATACATAATTACTAAACTACTAAATAAATAAAATTATTAAATTTAAGAAGTTGTAAAACAAAAAATCGCGCGAATGCGCAAGTCATATTCTAGTAGTCTTAATTTTTCAAACAAAAGAAATAATTGGCACATGGCCAATTGCTTAATTGGACCGCGCCTGATTTTTACCTCATTTTTGTTTTTATGTATCGGTTGGCTAAAAAGTTGGTCTCGAAGTTTAGATTGATGTTATTACTTATTACCGTGGCATGCGACATAGAGGATCATACGTGGGGAGATTTTTCGAAATTATCTTGATCGTTTTGTGGAGCATATGCTAATTATTTTAGGGTCAATTTGCTTAATAACAAAAAAAAACCTATATCTAAATAAATAACCAAAATTACCTCATGTGGCCAAACAATAGCCATTAGATTTAGGGCATTTGGTTACTTACTTAGATATAGTTTTTTTTTTTGGGTTATTAAGCAAATAAACCCATTATTTTACCACATATCAAAAACACAAAAATAGATGTTC